AGACTGTGGTCCCAGGCTCTCTCAGGTCATTGACCAGGTCCTGCCGTGTATTCTGGGGCTGATCCCTCACCTTCCTCTTATCATTGATGCCCCACGAGGTTGAGATCTTGCATAGAGCCCAGACTGAGGGAGATTGACCGTCATTCTTGAACTTCTTCCATTTTCTAATAATTGCGACCAAAACAGTTGTTGCCCTTCTCACCAAGCTGCTTGGCCTATTGTCCATGTAGCCCATCCCGTCTTGGTGGCAGGTCTACAACTTTATCCCTGATGTCCATACACAGCTCTCTGGTCTTAGGCCATTGTGGAGAGGTTGGAGTTCTGTTTGATTTGAGTGTTGTGGACAGGTGTCTTTTTATACAAGGTAACAAGTTCAAACAGGTGCAGTTAATTACAGGTAATGAGTGGGAGAGAACAGGAAGGCTTCTTATAGAAAAATTAACAAGGGGGGGTCTGTTGGAGGAGCCGAATTCTTACTGCTGGTAGGTGATCAAATACTTATGTCATGCAATAAAATGGCAAATTAATTAAATCATACAATGTGATTTTCTGGATTTTTGTTTTAGATTCCATCTCTCACAGTTGAAGTGTACCTTAATTACAGACCTCTACATGCTTTGTAAGTGGGAAAACCTGCAAAATCGGCAGTGTATCAAATACTTCCGTTACGTTCTCCCCACTGTAGTTCAAAGCATCCCTTTGTAGGCAGCAATGTGCTACAGGACTGTTGAAATAAGGCAGATAATATTGTAGGAAACAGCTCTGCTGTTTTTTTTAGCTGTGGGTTGGTCAAACGGTATTGACACCCTTACAGAATTTCTAAGTCCTGAAAATATTACTGGGAAGTGGCCGTGTATTGCCATTAACATGAGATTGCATAGTGCAGTTTTAAATTGTGTAATAGCAAATTTAATTTAATTTTATTTGTATAGCACCAATTCATAACAGAAATAACTTTACAAAATAGAGCAGGTCTAGACTATACTCCTTATAAAATTATTTACAGATACCCAACAGTTCCCACCATGAGTAAGCACTTGGCGACGGCGGCAAGGAAAAAACTTCCTTTAGAAGTAGATTTAGAGTTGGTAAATACCTCTGTATATGAAATGCAAAGAATTGGTATGTTTAATCTTAATATATATTTTTAAATGTGGTATGGTGTCTTCCTGTAGTTATCACCTTGAAGAGCTGGACCTGTCCTCCTGTCTCCTGACTCATGGCATGATTCAGATGCTGCAGCCTGCCTTCAGACACACACATAACCTCAAGTGAGACAAACTTAATAACTTCTGTTGTGGTTTGCAGTGAAGGCCCATAATAACAAAGTAAACATGTCCTGTTTCATTCCTCTCTTACTGCTAGTGACAGTAAAGTAAGTGGATATGTATTCTGTATGTTAGTGCTCTTCACCAGCTACACTGACTGTCTTAAACTGTTGGCTGTGCTATTTATTGATTTACTCTGGTTGAAAGGTGATCCAGTTGTGTGCAGGGGTAGTCCACAGCTCCCATCTGGATTTCCTAGCCTATTTTGTCAAGTTATCTTAAAGACAGACAGCTAGCTTTAAGGCTAGAGTTGTTTTTTTCCTTGGATTGCACGTGAGCGCAGAAAACAATCAGTCCATGCTTCAGAGTCCTGGGGTCATCGGGGTAGGGGCATGGGACTCCCCAGCCCAGCACTCTTAAGAAAAGTGGTGCCCAGGACCCACAGCAACATCACCATAACACATCCAGGTTACTGTCTGCAGTTGGCGTCAGCCCAGACGTGATCAAATTCTGTCCCCGCAACCCCAGCGGGGACAACAGCATAACCAGTGCCCCCAAAAGCACCCAAATAAACCTCAAGGCACATGCTGAGAGTGGTGGGCACCTGGACTACTGACAACCCATTCCCAAGGTTCATGGCTTTTGAAAACAATTTCCCAAGGTGACAGGTTTCAGTTCTGTTGCCAGCCCCGACCACACTCAGGGGAACCTTAGTCACAGGCCCAGTGAAGGGCCAGTTTTTGTCTCAGGAGATAGCCACACTCCTGGACAAAAAGGCCATCACCCACGTATGCTGAACGATGGGTTTTACTCAATATATTTTCGGATACCAAAGAAAAACCATTTACTCTGTCCTGTACTAGACCTAAGGATAGTTGTTTCATACAATCAACGTCCTTAAGATCATCAGTTTAATAGAGTGGTTCACTTCCATAGATCTCAAGGACATTTCACCCCTCAGATGTCATCTGTCATTCTACCAGGCGTCTAGCCACATCCAGCACAGCAATTAGGGGGGTGTCACAATCAGAGATGTGCGCATTAGCATCCTGGACAGCAGGTTTTAACACTTAAATGTTGCTTCTAGATTGGCATCAGCTATTCTGCCATTGGCTTCTTCAGTTGACCAGAAGGTGGATGTCTGTGACAGTACTTCTATAAATGATCCATTTTGTTTACTGCAACTGGTTGACAGGAAGTTACAGAGGTAGCTATGATTCTGTGAATTCCTGGATGACTGCCAGTCCTGATGGTCACTCTGAGCCTTTTAGGACGAGAAGATTCTGCTAGCCCAGATGTAGCGTACCATGTGGTGTTTATAGCCGGGATGCACAGGTAGCCTACATGTCATTGTCACACTAGTGTCTTTGTTTACATAACATCTCAACCTGCACCGAGTGTGGAGACATCCCCACTAGTGACTTCTGTTTATTGCTTGATGCTGAACTTTGTACATGTAATGTATGCACACTCAATTGCTGCATAGTGACTGAATATGAATTCACTGAATAGTTGTAAGCAGGCACAGTAATTGTGAGTTTAACTGATCAGCTCATATCAATTGAATACTGGATTACTTAACTTCAGTTAGTTTATTAAAAAATTATTCATATTCAGATATGACAAAGACAGGATCAGTCCAGCACTGCACTACAGTGAAAATACACTCAGTTACCAGTTTATTTGGCTAATACAGAGTCAGTCTGATCCAACACTCCTGCAATAGGTTAGGTGATGACGTGTTGATTCAACTTTATGATCATTTTGGAGAATGTAGTCTATGCTCCTGTTGAACTGTATTGCATTATACAGAGAGGTGTTTCTGTTATTTAGCCTACCCTCATTGATATAAATGGGTCATGGAATGGGAATAAAAATATACACTGTATATGAACAATGAATAATGCCAGCGATATTCTTTTAAAATGATCAGAGCATTTTACTAAGTTACTTTACAGTGTTAAATATAGCCCTCATTACTGCAGCTTTTACATGTATTTTTATTAACTTTGGGTGATTCCCATGCCTGTCTAGCATGTGAATGTTGTTTGCTGTGATTGTTGTGTCTGCCTGTCTCTGTTGTCCTCAGTCTGCAGTTTAACAGCCTGGGTCCTGAGTCCTGCATCCTCCTGAGAGATCTGCTACTAGACCCCAAGAGTTCTATTAGATCTCTACAGTAAGACTACACTTTAATTCATGTGTTTACGTTGTTGTAGTCTGTGTGTACAATGGAATCCTCTCTTCACTGTGCTGCTGTCTTTTAATTTAGAATATTCAAATTTCAGTTAATTAAACACAGTATGTTCCCCTCAGCTCTGCTCAGTTTTATATTACCCCTCTTCCTCTTTCTCTCTTTCTGCACACATT